TTCGATTGACGGAGAGCTGCAGGTTATAAAAATTAACAAACATAGCCTAACAAATAACTCAGGGTATTCACTATATACTTAAAATAACGCTACAGAGTCAGGAGCACAAACATACTATCCCCACTGCCCCACTTGACTTCCTTCATTTAGTAAAATCTTACTTGTATTCAAGTCTGCAGCTGATGCCCGCTGCCCCACAGTGTGCAGCACTGCTCCAGCAAGCACCTCTAATAGCCACCTAAGGAGTGGCCAGTGAAGGTATCACTAGGCTGTAATGTAAACACTGCACTTTCTCTAAAAAGACCGTGTTTACTGCAAAAAGCCTGAAGGGACGGACTATACTCACCAGAACAAATACAATAAGCTGTAGTTCTGGTGACTATAGTGTCCCTTTAATTTTAATAAACAAAATCTAAATGGAAAAATGTAAGCCAAAATAACTGATCTTCTTTAGGCTTTGTTTTGCAATTAGGATTTAATCTGATATAAATTAACTGTTTAAATAATAACCCCAAACTCCTGATGTAAAAACATTTACAGACAGATTATGTGATGCTTCTCCCTCAACATTATTACACTTTACAGCTGGTTTAGAATGATGGGATGGACAACATAAAAATAGCAAGGGGTCTACATGGCAAAATAGCAAAAGCACTCACCGCACAGTATAACATAGGTTTACAGTGAGTATCACATTCAAGGACATGTTAAGCTAATATTTGAGTGCAAGAACATTTTGCTCTCTAACTCTAGCTACTGAGTAAGCATGGGGTGGTGGCTCCCATCAGGCACGTGTTTGCTTGTAAAAATGCCATTGTCGGGATAAATGTTCACAGATAACATAAACAGTTACATCTTTAAAGAAGAAAGCATTTTTAAAAAGGAGCACTTCAACATTATATGTATTTGTTTGTTGTTTTGATTACCCAATAGAATGCGCTTATAAGGAAGCATGAGACTAATGTTTTCCGGTGGAAGCTCTCACTTCCATTTAAATATCATTCAAGCTCTCTTAGCATTCAGCCTTGATAGCCAGTGGGGTCTTCCTAAAACAATTCATAAGAGTGCAGATTTCTCTTGAAACTGGCACTTTTATAAATTGGAACAAGGGGGGTATGCATTCAACCCCTAAATTAACATTTATAAGGGTTTCAATACAATTACAGCTCAAAGCATAGCTAGCTTTTGGTTAGTTAATGGGTGTATCTCACGAGAGTGAACTCCGAATCTCACGAGAGTGAACTCTAGCAGCTCCTGAGGCGCCACCAGACCACCAGGAATTGCTTTGTACTGTCCCCCTCCAAGGCAAATGTAGGCGGGGGGGAGGGGGATTAAAATAATTAATAATCTTTTTTTTATATGTTTATGAAGTTGCTCTCCTACCTCCACACTGCCCCCTCATACAACCTGCCCACGCACGCACACACACTACTGCCCCTATCTCGAAAAATCCCAGGTAAGTTGTCAAACCGTTCTTAAACAGTTTGACTACTTATTTTGGGAGGGCACTAATGCACTACTGGCACCAGTAGTGACATAAAGTGCTGTAGTGGTTATTATGCCTGGATTGTTTCTTTAAATAATCTACCAATGCCCCTCCCAAGATTAGGTTCTGAATCTGCGCTGAACAGGGGCCCAGTATATGCCGCTGCGCTGTACATATTTACAACCTAGATTTATTTTTATTTGGGGCGCCTTGAAAAAATATTAATATAGTAAGTGCGCCTTGAACCTAAAAAGTTTGGGAACCACTGGTATATAGTAAATAGGGAGAAGGCAGGAGAACAAAAACAAAAGAAAAAAAAACACAAAAAAACCCCACCAACTTAGAAATAGGTAGAGGTACCCTGTCCCTCTGACAGTAGCCTGCAGAGATCTTGGCCTCCCCCACTGGTAGGGCACTTTCTTAGCCATTAATAAGCTGGTAACGGGACATAGGGTCTGTCTCCATATCGGGCCAGAACTGGACAAATCCAAATAAAATAAAAGAGAGCATTGTTCGAATTCCATGGTGGAGGAGTCATTCATAGCCGCCATAAGCACCATTTTGTCAAAATGAGTGACAGTCCCCTTGTGCCCCATATATATGACGTTGATTTTGTCAAGTATGAAGCAGTCTGTTCATTAGCTTATTCTACCTCTCTATTTAAAACATTCAATAAGATCACATATTAACATTCTACATGGCAATAAAGTAGCACTCTAAGCATAACCACTACACCTCAGCATAGTGGTTATGGTGCAAAGAGGAGTTGTAAGCCATCCATCACTGAATTATACCAAGTGTCAGCATGACACTCCTTTTGTTTTTTTTTTGTATGTTTTTAAGATAAAAATATTATTATTATTATTATTATATTATTTATATAGCGACAACAAATTCCGTAGCGCTGTACAATGGGTGGACTAACAGACACATAATTGAGATCAGACCACTGACGTACAGGAACAGAGGGGGTTGAGGGCCCTGCTCGATGAGCTTACATGCTAGAGGGAGTGGGGTATAGTGACACAAAGGGTTAAAGTAGGGGAATTAAATAGTTTGTTACAGAAGGGTTTATTGAGTGCTTGGTAGGTCATTTTTGACAGGTGAAGGAACTCATGGGGTGGGGGATGAGAAACCTGCTGACAGTTTAATTGATACGCTTTAATAAAGAAGTGAGTTTTCAAAGATTTTTTGAAGGAATGGAGGCTGGGTGAAAGTCTGATTGAGGAGGGAAGGGAGTTCCACAGAATAGGTGCAGCCCTGGAGAAGTCTTGAAGGCGAGCATCAGAGGTGGGGATCCGGGCAGAGGATAGGAGTAGGTCTTGGGCTGAGCGCAGGGGTCTCGTCGGGACATACTTGTGTATGAGGGAAGATAGGTATGTTGGAGCAGCATTATGTAGGGATTTGTAAGCAAGCGCCAGAATTTTGAATTGGGCCCTATATCTAACTGGAAGCCAATGCAGGGACTGACAGAGCGTGGAGGCGTGGGAGGTGCGACCGTACAGGAAAATAAGCCTCGCAGCCGTATTCATAATAGATTGCAGCGGTGCAAGCTGGGAACATGTAAGACCGTTGAGAAGGGGATTGCAATAGTCAAGGCGAGAGAGAACAACAGCATGAACCAGTACCTTAGCCGCGTCCGGCGTTAGATATGCGCGCGCTATGTTCTTGAGTTGGAAGCGACAGGATTTGGCTATCGATTGAACATGGGGAGTAAAAGAGAGATCAGAATCAAAAAGAACCCCTAGGCAGCGAGCCTGGGAGGTAGAGGTGATAGTAGCGCCGTTGGCTTGGATGGCGACAGACACAGGAGTAGCAGCACTTGAGGGAGGAAAAACTAGAAGTTCTGTTTTGGACAGGTTGAGTTTAAGGAAGTGAGCAGCCATCCAGTTGGAAATAGCAGAGAGGCAGTCAGAAACACAAGTCAAGGTAGGCGGAGAGAGATCAGGGGAGGACAGGTAGATTTGCGTGTCATCTGCATATAAATGGTATTGGACGCCAAAAGAGCTGATGAGTTTACCAAGGGAGGCAGTATAGATAGAGAACAGTAGGGGGCCAAGGACAGAACCTTGGGGGACGCCGACAGGGAGGGGTTGGGGAGAAGAGGCAGAGCCAGAGAAAGAAACACTGAAGGAGCGCTGGGAGAGGTAGGAGGAGCACCAGGAGAGAGCAGAATCCCGTAGACCAAAGTTACGGAGAATGTGAAGAAGCTGTTGATGATCAACAGTGTCAAAGGCGGCAGAAAGATCAAGGAGGATTAGGATAGAGTATTGGCCGCGAGATTTAGCAGCAATTAAATCGTTGGATACTTTGGTCACAGCAGTTTCGACAGAGTGACCAGCGCGGAATCCAGACTGAAGGGGGTCAAGCAGAGAGTTGGATTCAAGAAAGTCTGTTAATCTGGCATAGACAACTCTCTCGAGGATCTTGGAGGCAAATGGCAGTAGCGAGATAGGGCGGTAGTTGGATGGGGAGTTGGGATCAAGGTTGGGCTTTTTCAGAATTGGGGTTACGGTTGCATGTTTGAAGGCAGAGGGAAATGTGCCAGAGGAAAGGGAGAGATTGAAAATGTTAGCGAGAGGAAGAGCAAGAGAGGGAGACAAAGTGCGGATGAGATGCGAGGGAATAGGATCGAGGGAGCAGGTGGTGGGGCGGGAGGACAGGAGCAGAGCAGAAACCTCTTGTGCTGTAGCAGGTGCAAATGAGCTTAGGATGACAGGGGAGTGGGGTTGGGTGATGTATTGATACTGGTTGGAGAAAGATTAGAGATCTCTTTCCTGATTGTAGAGATCTTCTCAGTGAAATGAGATGCAAAGTTTGTGGCGGACAAGGTGGTGGAAGGAGGGGAGTCACAGGGCGAAGAAGTGCATCAAAAGTGTGAAACAGGTGTTTGGGTTGGTGGGACAGTGTGCTTATGAGGGTGTTGAAGTAGCTTACTTTTGCAGAGGAAAGAGCCATGCTGTAGGAGCGCAGCATAAATTTATATGGACAAAGTCAGATGCAAAGTGAGACTTTCTCCAGCAGCGTTCAGCAGTTCTGGAACATTTTTGGAGGTAACGGGTCAGCTTGGTGTGCCAGGGTTGTAGTTGGGGGCGCTTGCTGCGTTTAACTGTAGGAGGTGCCATGATGTCAAGTTGAGAGGAGAGAGTGGAGTTGTAGAGTGAGGTTGCAGAGTTAGGGCAGTTGTGATTTGAGATGGGTAAAAGGAGTGTTTGGAGTTTAGTGGAGAAGTGCTGGAGATCGAGAGAGTTGAGGTTTCTGCGAGGTTGGAGAGTGGACGGTGGTGAGAATTTTGGTATGGGGTATGCAGATGTTAAATGTTAGCAGATGGTGGTCAGACAAAGGAAATGGAGCAGTGGCGAGATCAGAGGTAGTACAGAGATTGGTGAAGATGAGGTCAAGAGTGTTTCCTGCAGTGTGAGTTGCTGTGGAAGAAATCTGTGTGAGTCCAAAGGAGGAGGTTACAGAGAGCAGACGAGAGGCATCAGGGCAATTGAGCTTGTTGATAGGGATATTGAAGTCCCCAAGTATGAGAGAGGGAGTGCTAGAGAAAGAAAGTGGGGTAACCAGGAGGAAAAGTGTTCAATGAATAATTTAGGGTGACCGGGGGGGCGATAGATGATGGCAATTCTTAAAGGAGTGGGCTTAAAAAGGCGTACAGAAGCAGGAGTAGCGGTATCGGATGGAGATAGCCAGGTCTCAGTGAGTGCCAGTATTGTGAGAGAGTTAGAGATGAGGAGGTCATGTATTGCTACAGAAATAAATATATAAAAAATGTAACAAATAAAAAGAAAAAAAGCACAAATAGATGCAGTGTAACAAGAAGTGTTAATTGGCTTTTGTGTTGACTAATTAAAATCTGAAAATGGACTTTGAGCACTGAGCACTGTTCAGGTTTGCTAGAAGTGGTCTTTTAAAACTCAGACTGTGGAAGACAGAGATGATAGGGTCAAAAACAGGACTGCAATAAAAGCTATGGAATGGAGATGCACAGAGGAGGTGAGGATTGGTCAAGCAAGACATTTGGGTGGGTATCAATAAAATAAGGGGGGGGGGAAGAAATAACAGAGAAAATCTTTAGAGATAAGCAGGATGTTGAATAACATTTAAGTTAACAAAACCAATGTTGAGAAGGGCAGGGAGCAACTAGCTTTAGCATGCAGGACAAGACAAACTGCAGAGTATATGTGTGTATGAGAAAACACACACACACACACATATATATATATACACACACATATGCTGTATTTTTATTTCTTACGTTTAATAAATGACAGCTTCCAAGAGCAGAAGACAAGAAACAATGTGATCTGAGAATTGTGGATTAATGAAATTGGTCAGTAACAATATATATGGAAAAATGGTGATTTCAGGTTGGTGTTCAAATGTTCACCGGTCAACACAACAGCACAATGTCCCAATCCAAACTATATTCTTATCTTAACCCCTTAAGAACACATGACATGTGTGACATGTTATGATTCCCTTTTATTCCAGAAGTTTGGTCCTTAAGAGGTTAAAGTAAACCTGCCATGACAGGCTCCACTTAACAGATAATACCTCCTAATACCAAGTATCATAAAGATCATTTTTACACTTAAAGCATATTCCCCCAATATTTGTGTCCCACGAAACAAAACGTTGGTGGAAGGGCGTTAGAAAGAGCAAGCAATGACGCAATACCGGGATGTCATATCCAGGTAACCGGCACTCTGTGCAAGAAGAGAAATGAAGAGGACAAGTTGCAAACAGACTGCAGGACCTTGTGTTAGTTTGTGTGTGAGAATGGAGTATGTATGGGTCAGAGTGTGTGTTTGTGGGTGTGTGTATCAGAATGACAGTGTGTTGGACAATGATTGTGTGTAACAGTGTATAGGTATATAGGTTAGTGATGACAAGGTTTGATTACACAAATTCAATAACGTATACTTTCATTTTTATAGTGTACTATGCATATTTACATATACGTGTGTAATAATAAAAGGGACACAACCACCCAAATACAAAATGAATAAAAATCGCTGCTTACTAGATATACCCCCAAAAGAAAACGTACATGCATTTAATTATGTATTTTATTTATTGGAGGTAAAGCTAAAAACAGCTAGCAAAACCTGTCGTTCTCTTTTCTGCAGCCTCTGCAAGCCCACCCCTTCTAAAACAGCCTACACTGTATATTGCGGTCCAATCACAGACTTTTTAATACAGCTCAATGAGAGGTCCTTGCAAGGTAGGTGAAAACCAAAATCTGAATCACATCCATAAAAAAACAAACATACAACACACATACACTATAATAAAGGGAGAGACTACAGTCAGAGTAATTCACAAAACTTCGAAGTTTTGCAAAACAAATCCAAATCGCAAAACACCCATCTTCTAAGCAGAGATAGATAATATGTCCTGATCAGCTACTTTTGCCTCCTTTTTCCATTCAGATTTAATCTGTTAAAATGAGTTTAGTCAACGTTAAAATGAGTTTAGTCAACGTTCAAGACTCTAGGCAAGTGCCCCCTTTCTTCATAATTGATGTTCTGTGTCAGGACAAGTAGATTGTCTTCACAGACAAGACAATTTAGACCAGGGGTCCTCAAACTCTGGCCCCCCAGATGTTGCTGAACTACAACTCCCATGATTCTCTGGCTATCTATGTAATTCAAAGAATCATGGGAGTTGTAGTTCAGCAACATCTGGGGGGCCAGAGTTTGAGGACCCCTGATTTAGACCATTGGCCAATTAGATTTTTATTTTATTTTTTACATTTTAACCCCCTCCCTCCTAACACCCATGGATATGTTTGGAAACACATTTAGATAAAACACAGAGAGTGAAAGAGTTATCCCAAAAGAAGGAGCCACCAGATCTTTATAACTAAGATCATGAAAATGATGAGAGCCAGGAATGTATCAGACTGTATATAATCAGAGCATGCTGCCAGTGTTATTAGGGATGCTTTGTCAATGCAGCCTGCAGGTTGTAGTGATGGCATTGCTGTCCTGCAATGTATTAGTACATTCCCCTGGTAAAATGTGAGCTGGGCCCCCTGTATATGGAGAGGGGAGCATTGCCATTATACAGACTGCAGCAAAATGAGCTCATTAAACAATAATAATGGAAACTATACACCACAGACACAGGAGTAACACATATAGTATCAGCTCTAGCAGAATATATATACACCAGTGCGTATTGCACATACATTGTAACTGTACACAGCTCCTGAAAGATGGAAGAATTAAAAAATAAACATGATTAAAATGTACTCAGGCCCCAATGGCTATGTTTCTCCTTATGAACAGGCAGGCTCCCCACACACAGCTTCCTACCTCCTCCCAGCACTGCTACTAGTCCGCAGGGACCCCGCTGTGCTCTATCCTCAGCGGGGCCCCTCTCCCAGGGCACTCTCTGGATTTACTGGAATGCAGGCTTCGCTCACACAGGTAGGCCGCAGCCGTGTCCATAGAAACGCCAGTAACAAGGGGAGAGCGCATAGCAAGTGATACAGGCAGGCGGATGACGCTATGTTCCACTCCCACGGCCGCATGCTGAACAGCGCCACCTGCTGTGTGACCGTGACATTACATGGGCACCACCAATGCATACAATGAACCACCAAGGGGAGTCATACCCCACAGGGGCTAATAGTATAGAGTGGTTTGTGGGCTGCTGCCTATCAGCAAAGTAATATATATATATATTTATATTTATTAAATGAACAAAATACAACAATATTACAGTTTGCCTTGCTGACAATTGCATTAAGTTATAGGGTTATTTACTAAAGTCCAAATTCGGACCGCTAAATCCGGACGCTGCTTGTAAGATTAACAGGGTTACTAACTAAAGCGAGAATTCATGGGGAATTTTAAATTTAAGTTCAAAATAGCCGAACGGGAAACATTCTCTAACTCTGCAATGCTTTCAATTCGGCTACTCTGGATTCTTTGAATTCACTTTGAATTCTCACTGTAGTGAATATGTATGTCTGGATTTTTGTCATTCGGATTTGGATTATTTGGTGAAGCTGAAACTCTGAATCAGTTCAAGCCTATTCAAAGTCTGTTTTGACATTAAATAGACTTGAATTGATTCAGAGTTCCGGCTTCACCAAATGGCTGAAATCCATATCCGAATAGTAAAATACAGATCCAGACTGGTAAAATCTGGACTTGGATTTTAGAAAATCCACATTATTTGCCGGCAGGAAGAGCTAGCAGTCAACGGACAAACAGAGGAGCACAAGAAGGCAACATAACCACTACCGCCAGCTGTCATGCTTATGGTCCAGGAAGTACCTTGGTGCCCTTCTAGTGTACCTACCTAGTTAAACCATTTAAGAAAGGTTGGACAACTTATCTGGGATATGCCGGTCATTTCCTCCTCTGTAGCGGAATGTCAGTGGTTGCCGCCCTGCAACACCAGGTGGCTTAGTTCAGTAGAGGGAGCTTCTAGGGCTGCAGAGGAAAAGATGACTGGCAACCAGCAAGCCCCAGGTAAGTTGTTAAATCGTTCTTAAATGTCTTGACTGCTTTCAATGAGAAGGCACCAGGGCACTCCTGGCACCATAACCATTACAGCAGGCTTTAGAATTTATGGCGCTTGAAGTGCTGCTTTAAAATAAGAACTCCTTGGTGGTGCAAGGGTTAAGTGTGTGGCAGCTATCTAGCAGCTGGGATTAAGAAACTGGCATCTGGGCAGCTGTTGCTGCCATATTGATCCCCATATGGTTATTTTTTACTTTTTACTATGGCGGCTGGCTAGTAAGCACTGTCCAGCTACCACATAATTAACCCTTGCAATATCATGGGTTATTAACCTATTTGCCCACTGGTTGCTAGGCAAATAGTCCTGATTTCTACCATTTGCTTGCAAAGAGCAGAGAAGTGATGATTTCTGAATGTGAATCAACTTGGGCCCTCATTTAAATTAAAAAGCCACAAGAAGGAAATGAAATAATAAATAAAATAAATCATAGTTTAATACTGTTTTATTTTAATACTAATTATAAAACTCTTCAATCAGATATACATAGGTAAACATAAATTAACCAAAATACAGAATAAGCAATATTTGTACGTTTTTAGTAGTAACTAAAATCTTTGAAAACTCACTTCTTCATTAAAGCGTATCAATTAAACTGTCAGCAGGTTTCTCATCCCCCACCCCATGTAACCTTTCCTGCAACTGTCAAAAATGACCTACCTAGCACTCAATAAACCCTTCTGTAACAAACTATTTAATTCCCCTACTTTAACCCTTTGTGTCACTATACCCCACTCCCTCTAGCATGTAAGCTCATCGAGCAGGGTCCTCAACCCCCTCTGTTCCTGTACGTCAGTGGTCTGATCTCAATTCTGTGTCTGTTAGTCCACCCATTGTACAGCGCTACGGAATTTGTTGGCGCTATATAAATAATAATAATAATAATAATAATAGTAACCAAACCAAAAAAAAGAGCAATCTACCCATTTTCTATATATCCATCAGCACAAACAAATAAGAGGTCAGCTGGAAACCCCATCACCCTAAGCAGCGGTGATGAAGCTTTAGGATGGTGGGGAAATTCCTGAAATTCCTACCTAAAGGACCATAGGCATGTGCAAAACTTGCTGAAACAGGGCATATTTTAAACCAGACGCATTTTTATGACGTGCCTAGATGCACATGTAATTTTCTCAAAACAGCTACCAGTAAACGGGAAGGGGCCCTTCAGAAATTAAACTTATTATTAAATTAAAGAGACACTATTTTTTTTTTACCATATTATTTTTTGGATTACCACCATCCCCTAATCTAAATGTTTCTCAACTTCTGCAAATTATATCAATCCCGACATAAATACTGGTGCCAAGTGCCGCTATGGGCAAGCCTCCACTGACCCTAAGCCAGCACATGGAATGCTATGCACAGAGTTCACCTTCACTGGGATGAGAAACTCACAGGAAATGTCTGCATCTACAAAACCTATGCAGGTATGTGCTTTATGTATGGTGCAGAGATATGAGGCCATAATCGTGTGCCCTTCCTGGATGATTAATGCCAGTGCATAGGCTCATTCTCATTAAAGGGACACTATCACCACCTGAGCACTTTGCAGAGTTTGGTTACATTGCTGCTAGGGGTCTGGTGGCCGGGGAGAGCAAAGCTCTATTTTAGCCTGCCTTCCCCTCTGTCACAGACCTCAAAGCAGCTCCTCTGTTGCAGACAGCCGACGCACACGCAACGGTGTGCACACATGTGCAAGAGCAGGTGTGCGCCTCCACGTGACCACTCAATGAGAAGCCTCTGAAAGTCTCTACCAGGAAAAAAGGGGAGGGCCTACAAAGGCTGCAAATTCTTTTAAGATATACGCCCAGTAAATACATGCATGATAATTCATACATGTATGCTTTGGAGGTATATCTGCAAAACAGTAATTTTTTCTACGGATCTCTTGATACCAAGCCAAGGTGAGGTAGACCAAGAAAGATTTCAGCCACAACTGCCAGAAGAATTGTTCGAGATACAAAGAAAAACTCATAGGTAACCTCAGGAAAAATACAGGCTTCTCTGGAAAAAGACGGTGTTGTTGTTTTTTCAAGGAGCACAATATGACAATACTTGAACAAAAATGAGCTGCATGGTCAAGTTGCTAGAAAGAAGCCTTTACTGCGCCAATGCCACAAAAAAGCCCAGTTACAACATCTTAAACTAAAATAGAGCTTTATGTGTGTGCTAGAAGCATAAGTGCTATATTTAGAGAGGAGTCAACAATAGACACGTGCAATTTGTTTTGGTCCGAATGTAAATTCGTCAAAATTTCGGCAATTCGGACATTCGGGTGCTTCCGAATGTCCAAATCGGCGAATTTCTGAAGTGCCGAACCGAAGTCCCGAATTCTCGAAATGCTGAATTGCCGAAGTGCCGAACCGAATTGCCAAATTGCGAAAGTGCCAAAGTGCTTCGGATTTCTGAAGAGTGGCAAAACACGAGAGGGAGGGAAAATTAAGGAAATGATGACAGGAATCTAACCCTACCACTAACTCCAACCCTACCCCTAGTAGGGTTAGGGGTAGGGTTTGGGCTTAGGTTAGGGGTAGGGTTGGTGTTAGGGGTTTGGTTTGGGTTAGGGTTAAGGGTTAGGTTTAGGGGTAGGGTTAGGAAATTGCCAGAGTCCCGAAGTGCCGAACTGCTGAAGTCCCGAATTTCGCAAATGCCGAACCAAACCGAAGTCCAGAATTTCAGAAGTGCCAAACCGAATCAAATTTTTTGCCATGCACATACCTAGTCAAGAAGGCCTATAGTTAAAATACCATCCCCACTGCGAAGTATGATGGTTGCTCAATGATGTTTTGGGGGTGTATGAGCTTGAAAAGGCACAGGGAATCCTGTGAAAATTGATAGCAAAATGAATGCAGCATGTCATCAGAAAATACTGGCAGACAATTTGCATTCTTCTGCACGAAGGCTGTGCATGAGACGCTCTTGGACTTTCCAGCATGACAATGACACTAAGCACAAGGCCAAGTTGGCCCTCCAGTGGTTACAGCAGAAAATGTTCTCGAGCAGCTATCAGTCTCCTGACTTTAATATCTTCTAGCCACTCCAGGGAGATCTCAAACATGCGGTTCATGCAAGATGCCCAAAGACTTTGCATGACCTGGAGGCATTTTGCAAAGACGAATGGGCAGCTATTCCACCTGCAATAATTATGGCCCTCATAGACAACTATGAAAAAAGACTGCACGCTGTCATTGATGCTAAAGGGGGCAATACACAGTTGTGTAATTGACCAATTAAGAACTAAGGGTATGCTGACTTTTGAACGGGGGACATTTTAGTTTTTATTTGTTGCCATGTTTTGTTTTATGATTGTGCCATTCTGTTATAATCTACAGTTGAAAATGAATCCCATAAGAAATAAAAGAAATGGTACAAAAAATGGTAAATGTATTACCAATTCTCCAATGGTATGCCAACCTTTGAGCAAAACTGTAGCTTTAAATTACAGCGGGACAAATATATAACATAAATTCTAGGTTTTGTTTTGGGTCAAAACTTGGACAACTGCCTCCATCCTTAAAGGGTAAATCCTCCAATGAAGTTACTACTGAATACAACAATCTCTTTCTAATTAAACTTCATATTGACAATTACTCTTTCTTCCTGTTGCACAGGTACATCTGCATAATCTCCGAGAGAAGTAACTTAGTTACAAATGTTTAAACAAATATATTCCTCAAGTTAAAGCTTTTACTCTTCTGTTGCTATGGTTGCAAATTACACATCTACAAATTTCCTTGTCAGTCTACACAGGATATCTAGGTAAGTTTGTCCAATTTGCTTTCGGTACTATACTCTGATAAGTAGTTTCCTGGTGTCTGTATGTGTTTATTGACTGTTTAATATTTATATATGTATAAGTGAGGTACGTAAGACTCCCCGTTTTTATATTATCGTCTTAACACATTTTGTTGTGTTGCTTGCCTTTTCTATTATGTTTACAAACCCATCATGTACTACTGCAGTAGTGGATATTCAGTTGTTTATCTCACTATACATCTTTTGAAAATAAAATTTTAATAAACTACGAAAGGTGAAAATGATTTAAACCAAGCATGTCAAACTCATGGGCCGCATGAGGCCCACAAGGACCATCTTTGCGGCCCGAGGCACCTGCTTTCCCCACATTGCAAGTGTCTACTCTGCTAAAACTTGCCCGGCCAGGAACGATGGCCAGCGAGGGAGCTCAGTGTTCCAGCTCCTCACTGCTCCCTCGCGCGCGCCGTCTGTAGTGAAGCCGGGCACCGGAATATTCCGGCATCACTAAACCGCACGAGGGAGCAGTGAGGAGTAAGAAGGACCCCAGGGAGATGCCCTACATCGACTCCAAAAGGTAGGGAGCAATAAAGAAAAGTATGTGTGTGCAACAATGTGCAAGTGTGTGTGTGTGTGTCTCTCAGTGAGTGTGTGTGTGTGTCTGTCTGTCAATGAGTATGTGTGTGTCTGTCTGTCTGTCTGTCAGCAAGTATGTGTGTGTGTGTGTGTCAATGTGTCTGTATGTGTGTGTGTGTGTGTGTCTGTCAGTGAGTATGTATGTGTGTCTGTCTGTCAGTGAGTGTGTGTGTGTCTGTCAGCAAGTATGTGTGTGTCTGTCAGTGAGTGTGTGTGTCTGTCAGTGAGTATGTGTGTGTCTGTCAGTGTGTGTCTGTCAGTGAGTATGTGTGTCTGTCAGTGAGTATGTGTGTGTGTGTCTGTCAGCGTGTCTGTATGTATGTGTCTGTCTGTCAGTGAGTATGTGTGTGTGTCTGTCTGAGTATGTGTGTGTCTGTCTGTGAGTATGTGTGTGTGTCTGTCAGTGTGTGTCTGTGAGTATGTGTGTGTCTCTGTCAGTGAGTATGTGTGTGTCTGTGTGTGTGTGTCAGTGTGTGTCAGCAAGTATGTGTGTGTCTGTCAGTGAGTATGTGTGTCTGTCAGTGTGTCTGTATGTGTGTGTGTCTGTCTGTGAGTATGTGTGTGTGTCTGGCAGTGATTATGTGTGTCCGTGTGTCTGTCAGTGAATGTGTATGTGTGTGTGTCAGCGGGATGATCAGATTTGGCACAGGGTGGTAGAGGGGGGTGCTGTGGTTTAGTAAAGGGGGATGCTGTTTTTTTTTATATACTGTACTTTTTCAAATAAACCTACGTTTCTATGGAAATTTACGGCATTTTTTTTTTTTTGCAGCCCACGTAAACTTTAACCTTGTTTATGTGGCCCGATCCAGACTATGAGTTTGACATGCTTGTTTTAAACAGTGATGCTTCTATTACAGGGATCACTGTTTTGTTTTGCATTAAGAGAGTTATTTTGTTTTGCAGAACATTTAACTTCAATAAGCTTCCTTTTCAATAAAATGATTAATAAACAGATCACAGTGTGGCAAAATATAGAGATATTTCCATTAATAAGTTGGAGTAATTTCTCTTACACACATATCTGACGTGCATGTATAATAATTAAAGGTATAATGCTAACGTTTGATATCTTTACTATTTTTGTGATGGTCCCTTTAAAAAAAAGCTTTTGAGAACCAGCTGTCACCTGTCATAAGTAACCACAGACTTTCTGTCAGAGTTCCTGCAAGCACTCTACACACTTCTAATCTGTGTGTACTATTATGGCGGATACAGCAGTGACATCTCAGGAACAGGAGCCCGAGACAAATGTGTGTCCTACTTTAGAGGAACTGCAAAGCATTCTGAACAGCAAGCGTACATGTTTCGCTCATCATGTGGATGAAGTGTGGCCCAATCTCTACTTAGGAGATCTGTGAGTATAAAATTATTCTTATAAAAAGTGCTGATAAGCATCTGAAGGTATAGTACTGTCAGGGCCGGACTGGGAAGAAAATTTGGCCCGGGCATTTTTTAATTACAGCGGCCTACTATAAAGGGGGCGGGGCCAGAAAGGGTGTGTTTTGTCATCACCAATGACTAGTACGCCCCATCACAAAGTGAGCATGTTGGTTCAATGCTCTTTCAGGGTAGACCATACGCAGAGCTCTGCTGAAGAGCTCTAGCATGAGAAAAAGACCCTCTATGTGTTTTGCACAGCGCAAGCAAATTTTACTTGCTTGCACTGTGTTTGCTTGAAAATTGTCTCTGGTGTCTCCATAGATAGGATCCCAGGAGACAAAAATGCTAGGAAAGCGTATTGTGCAGTGTGTGTGAGGGTGCTGTGTGTGTGTGTGTAAGGGGTGTAGTGTGTGTGCAAGAGGGGTGCAGTGTGTGTGTGCTGTGTGTGAGTGATTGGTGCTGTGTTTGTGTGATGGTGCTATGTGGGTAAAGGTGCTGTGTGTGTGATGGGTGCAGTGTCTGTGTGCTGTGTGTGAGTGATGGGTGCTGTGTTTGCGTGAGGGTGCTATGTTGGTAAAGGTGCTGTGTGTGATGGGTGCAGTGTGTGTGTGCTGTGTGTGAGTGATGAGTGCTGTGTTTGCGTGAGGGTGCTAAGTGCATGTGAGGAAGCTGTGTGTGAGGGTGCTGTGGTTGTGTGTGTGAGGGTGCTGTGAGTGTCAGGTGTTCAGTGTGTGTTTGTGTGAGTGAGGGTGCGGTCCGTGTCAGGGGTGCAGTGTGTGTGTGTGCTGTGAGTGTCAGGGGTGCAGTGTGTGTGTGTGAGTCAAGGTGCTGTGAGTGTGAGGGGAACAGTGTGTGTGTGTGAGTGAGGGTGCTGTGAGTGTCAGGGGTGCAGTGTATGTGTGTGTGAGTGAGGGTGCTATGAGTGTCAGGGGTGCAGTGTGTGTGAGGGTGCTCTGAGTGTCAGGAGTGCAGGGTATGTGTGAGTGAGTGAGGGTGCTGTGAGTGGTTATTTCCCCTCTCCCTTCTTACATTTAGCCTGGGAGGGGGGATCCTTCTGCTGCTGCAATCCCTGGTGGTCCTAGTGGTGAGTGAACTCTAGCCTGTGGGACTAGAATTCACTCTCGCGAGAACTGAAGCCTTGCCATGGCAACGCTCCGAATCTCGCGAGAGAAACCCGACGGAGTTGTAAGCTAGAGCTCCTCCGGGTTCCTCTCCTGTCTCCCTCCCTCTCTCTCTCCCCCGCCAGCCGCAATATACTACATGTCGGCCGGTGAGGGAGATCTTTGATCTCCCCACCTGTCCGCCATGGAATGCAGCAGGGCCGGCGCTCAGATAGTACAGGCCCTGCATAGACCGACAGAGGAGATCCTGTGATGTCCCCTGCCGGAGGCATTTGCCCGGTGTGCCCGATGGCCAGTCCGGGCCTGAGTACTGTCATTTAGTTTGCTAATCTAAAATGGATTTGCTTGGTGCTATGTAAGCTCTTGTGATCTTTTGAGAATGCAAAAAAGCTCAGAATGTTGAAAATATTTGTATTTTTTAGGAAATTATTCAACTCCTTTCAATTTGTTTAAATTATAGTTTCAGTCATCTGGTGTTGAGATGGCATTGGTAAAAAGGACACTATAGGCACCCAGACCACTTCATAGTGATGAAGTGTTATGGGTGCCGTGTTCTTGCAGTTTTAACCCTGCAATTAAAAACACTGCTGTTTTGCAGGAACGGCAATGTTTACATTGCATGGTTTAGATGCCTCTCTCGGACAGCCACTTGAGGTGCTTCTGTCAAAATTTATCAGATGGTCACACAGAGACTGTCTGATCGGCACAGCACAACATTTTGTTGTGCATGCAAACTAGCCTCCCAATGCTTTTTAATGGGAAAGCATTGGCTTGGCAGAGATTGTCAAGACTGGTGATCTCAGCCAAGGAGGCTTGGTGACCACAGAAAGAGCTGTGTGGCTTGGGAGAAATTATATGTAAATTACCTTTTTAACCCTTGTAGGGGAGGTGCATTTTTATTCCTAATATTATAGTGCTCCTTCCTAGTGAATGATAAAAATAAATGGTGTTTCAGACTCAGAGTTAATGTTACAAGAAACAAAATGTATTTCTCCACCTCCAGTTCTCCACAAAAACCATAGATTATTTAGCATTCAGTGGTATAATAAAATATGTGGTGTTCCTCTTACTCTACATAATTCTGATGGACGCCGTCTTGCTTTAAAACAGTGCACAATGTGTTGTAATCACTTATGTTTTCAGGAACAAGAGTTCCGGCCTGGCTCATGTCAATTCTGTGCATATTTTTATGCACAGAATGTCATTTATTGGCTGGGAGTGGTCAGCTGACTTTCTCAGCCAATGAACAGCAACAGGATTGGAACCCAGTTTCTGTAGCTCTGCAGAAGCCTGATGCATGTCACCATATCAATTTGACCCCAAACGATGCACAATAAAACCCTCAAAGCTGGATGCAAAAAAATCTATAAAATCATTTTAAAGGTTTATCCAAAAAATATTTAACCATTTGAAAAGATTGTCCAACAATATTAAATTGAGGCCATAATTTAACAAATTTGCAGGTGACAACTTCTAGGTCATCAGCATAGTGATGAAAAATTTAGAAAGTAGCAAGTACAACATTACACAATTTACAGCTTAAATGGTATTTGTATTCTAGTGTGGCTAGCACTTCAACATTTGTTGGTGCTGTAAGAAAAATGATTGTCTTTCTTCCTTCAGTTCCACAGCTAATAACAGGTTTGAACTGTGGAAAATGGGAATTACACATGTGCTGAATGCTGCTCATGGGAACAGATTTTCGGAGGGCAATCCGGACTTTTATGGTTCAAGGATCTATTATCATGGAGTTCCTGCGTATGACCTGCCAGATTTTGACATGAGCAAATATTTCTACTCTGCCTCAGAGTTTATCCACAAGGCTCTCAACAACACTGAAGGTACAGTAAAATAAATGCCTCACAAATGTGTCTTTCACTGAAAGTTATAGTATTCAGCCATCCTAGGTATATCAGAAGAAATCTAGGGTAGAACTAGTCTACAAAATCTGTTCGAATTTGTGTTGTTTTTTGTTTTTCTTTTCTTTTTAAAAAATTCTTTATTTTTGAAGTGCAGATAATTACACACTATCTCGTCATGCCCCAACAGCAAGCGACAATGGAAACAAGTTACACAGCTTGTAAGCATCAAGGCATTGGTAAAAAAACATGCACATTTTTTTTTTCTACGGTATAACGACATGATTAGGAACAAGCTTAGTAGTACTTTCCTAGAGCTATATTATAACGTAGGTTCGTTTTGTATAGGAAAATAGACAAGATTATATCGTGAGCTTCACTATCACAAAAGGAAAACAGTAGCTTAGGTTCACCGATTGGTATCACAATTTTAGGTAAAGTAGGGAGATAGGTCATGCTATAACATTGCATTTTGTGATTAGGTTGAGCGCACTTGGCTTAGTGTCTGGCTGTACCTGCTTTTGTGAGCAATGTGGTGAGACAAGGAAACATATGGTGATATTACTCATATTCTGCTTATTTACAGTACAAAAGGGAATAACGAAATAATAAAACAAGAACACTAAACTATTGTTGTACGGTCAGGAGGTGTTTAAGACATTTGTGTGGTGTCATATTTGGAGTGCATATCTACAAGGGCCTGCATAGCCACAGGAGCAGGTGCTAGCCCATTTATATCTCCAACATTTATAATTCTATGTTTTTGTGTGCAAAAGGTTACAGGCATTTGTATCTCGCCACAACAGCGTTTGCAATCATCACATCGGTATATAGGTTCAGACTGTAGTAAGGCAATTGTGAGTACTGCACATTTTTATTTTATGATATAGTAAAGCTATTAAGTGAATAGATGTTGTTGGTAATGATTGTGTTAAGGTGTGCAAACCGTCATATCAGGAGCAAGCGATGTATTATAGCAGGAGTATTATGTGGTAACCTATGTGTATTAGTAGTTTGTTGCGTCTGGTGTACTGGTTTTCTTGTTTAACCAAACAGGTTTAGTGTGATCCACTTTGAAGCGGTGGGGAGGCATAACGGGACTGTGCAAGAATGACAACCTATGTACATAATAGCTTATAGCAAAAAGGAGGGCTCTTATCTGTGGATGAAGTCAGACCCCTTATGATAAGTGTGGGATGCCGATTAGCGTGTGGTAAAGCGGGGTTTAACAGTGTGGTCTGGAGCCTGGTGTTTCACATTTGTATTATCAGTGCGTCCCTGAACAGCAGCATGTATGTACTCATGTGGATGTGCCCCGCTGTTCTCAGGGGACGTGTTAGGGACCTACCCTGTGAGTGCGCTCTACCTATTGAGGTAAGGAGTGCCGCACTGCATTCTAAGGAGTATGCTGCGGGTGTAATGATAGCGGCTGGTTTAAGTGCGGCCCAGTGTGAGTGAGACCTATAATATAAGGAGAGAATATAACAAAAAATAAAACTGCAACTGTTTAAAGTTCATGCGGTTAGAGCAGGAGGGTTGGTATGGGGCTCTCTACGTAGACCGGCGGCTGAAGTTGAAGTAGTGGCAGCCTTGTGGGAGTCCACTAAGGATCTTCGCTGATCAAATGGAGCCGTGACGGCCGGGTCTCAGACCTGCGTTGTGGCCGCCGTCCTAAGAGAGTCTTGTGGAAGACCCAAAGTCTCTAAGATGGCCACTGCCCCTTCGAGGTCCTGGACAGGGTAAGAAATGTTGCCTTGGAGGACAGCTAGAGTGCGGGATCCTTTCCATCTGTAGGTTATGCTTCGTTCACGAAGGAGCAATGTTAAGGGCTGTACTGTTTTGCGCCATGCCAGAGTGCTCCCTGATAAGTCAGCGAAAAAGGTAAGTGGTGAGTTCTTAAAGTTGTAGGGGGTTTTTCCCTTTAGTGCTCCCAGAACTGCTGCTTTGTCTTGCAGTTATTAGCCGTCTTATGAGATGCAGCAGCTCCGCGTCGGGGACCGATTCTGCTGCTCCCCTGATTTTAAGGTTTTTGTTATGCCTGGAATCCTCCAGTTTTGCAAACTGCTGTTCTGTGGCAGTATGTTGTCTTCGCAGTGTGTGAACCTCTTGTTGTAATTGAATGAGTTGTGCCTTCACATTGTGGGAGTCACTTTCCAAGTTTCCCATGCGGCCAGACAGACCTTGTAGATCTTTAAGAATGGTGCCATATCCATTTGGATATCTCTCCACAGGCCCGCCAGCAGCTCCTGTATGTCTGCCTTGGTGACTTGTGTTGAGTCCAGTTTTGAGGTTGCAGGTACCGGGATCCAGTTTAGCTCTCGCGGAGCAGGTGAGTGAGGATCCCCAGGCTCCAAACTTTGGTCGTCCGAGAAGTCAGAGCTCTCTCCCATGTAGGCGGCCATCCTGGCCAGTGAGGCGCCATGTGCCTGCCGCAATAAGTCGCCGATGCTCGTACCCGGTTTCGGCTTGTCTGGCCTCTGATTTTAATTTTTTGAACTGGGCTGCATGGGGGTCCAGGTGGGGTCTATTTGTTTGGGGTTGGGGTCGATAAAGACTCGGTAAATAGGCCTATGGTTACGGAGCATATCAGGCGTGTGACCGTTTAATTCAGTAGCTTAGCTCCGCCTTCCGTTGTTGTTTTCTTTTAAATGTATATCAACTGCTTCTCTACTTAAAATCAGTATACATTTTTATTTTCACGATTTTGCAAAATTAAATCTAGTAGGAGCCTCACGTACTCTTGTTTATATTTCAGTTATGATTACCAACATGTAGAGGAACACATTTCTCTGTCAGAAGTCACTAGTCACCGATACAATCGATACAATCCCTGCTCACCTCATGCTTTCAAATAGTACAGGAAGTTTCAGTGGGTCATATCATTCCTACATTAAAAGAGAGGGGAGGAGTAAGTAGGTTATATAATTTTACTATTGGCATTACACTAGCAGTCTAGAGATTGATGATTCTTTTAGCAGTTTTAAATATACTTATTTTACAAATATATGATTTAACTGTATTTACTGTATGTGAGCATTATGTTCCAATGCAAGCAATTCTTTGCCATTTCTAATAAGCTGTATGGCTAATAGTGCGTTTTAGGGTCCTTCCATAAAGGAAGGTATTTGACTATTTTTATTTATCTATTTTCATCACATTTACTGTATTTGAGAAAATAAAATTTTTGTGTTACACTGTATACTGTCTAAATATTTTTATTTTCTAAATAATTTTTTTTTTTAATTCTTTATTTTTGTAGTGCATAAAGAGATTAAACTTACCAGCTTGTAATGCCTCAACATTCGTGAAAGCACAGCTACAATGACAGTGAAATAGACATGTGGCATTGTGGATTGACAGCACTAATTTTACATTTTAATAGTCGGTTCAGGCTAGTCACATATCTTTGGTGCTTGGGTGAAATTTGGTGATTAAACTAGCAATACAATCAAGACATCAGATTAATATCATGATGATAATAATATGGAAAACACGCTTAACTACAGTGTTGTTCCGTTAAGATAGTTAAAAAGATAGATGACAAATGCACCAGCTCTGTTATAGCTAAACTAAGCTTAAACCCCTTATGAGCAGTGAGCTAGGATGCAGCGTGAGCTTGAGATAAGTAAGACATCCCAGAGGCTCCCAATTAAAAAGTGAGTGCCTTGGTATACCCTCTCCCCATAAAGAAAGCAGACCCAGAAAATAACAGTATGAAAGGGTAAACACAAGTAGTATGCAGTGTATTTGAGACTGGTGGAATTTGAGCAGTCCCATACGAGTCTCAGTCCCAGTTCACCCCATGCCCCTCTTGGGTAGCTCAGAGACACGTTGTGGTAAGGTGACTTAGAAGCCCAAGTGGAGGTCTCATTAACTGCAGGTTGGGACGTGGATAAGGGCTTGGTTCTTATCTCAATGAGCCTTCCATCCATCGTCTTTCATGGGCGTGAAAAGGGGTGTAGAACTGCTTGCGCAGGCCACATAGTATATTGTGTCTGGCTGCCTTCATTCTGCGTCTGCCTGGGCGCCTCCGCCATGTTCGGGATTGTCGTGGTCCTGGAGGGGGGTAATGGGCCACCAAGAATGGTGAGCTGGGTCCGGTGACGCCTTTACTTTACTTATTACTTTTTTATTTTAATCCCAAAATGATAAGGGAGCTATCTACTAAGAAGCTGAAATGCTAAAATTACGAAAAGCCCTTACTTTTCATAATTTTGGTCTTTCAGACAACTTTCCTAATACTACGTAAAATAATACTTAGTAGTAGTAGTAAGTAAGGGAAGTTAAATCTTCCCTTCTGCCCCACTTGTCGTGTTAGGGGCATGTCTACTAAACAGCAGCCACTGCTGCCCAGTCAAAAATCTAATACAGGGCACCTACTAAAATAAGCCACCCCAGCCCCCACCTACTGGCGGCCCTAAATTATAAGAGGTAGTGTACCTACTGTCTGTCCCCAGCCCCCACCCAATGGCAGCAAGGAAGAGATTTAAGTAATAAACTAAATACCTGTAAACTAAATATTAACACTTACCATTAGATATCTTTTCTTCCATCTTCTTTCCTCAGCCCCCAAAAAGGACAAATAAAAATGATGTCACAAGTATTAAAATAAGAAAAGGACTGTATCGCAACCCCCCCATCCCCCTCCCCAAAAAAATCCAGACAAAAAAATGATCCAGCTGTACCCCATGAGCTTGCAGGGAGGGTAAAGTCTTTATAATTGCATGCCGTTAAATTTGACTAAGAGCAGTCTCATTGGTTGGCTTAAGCTTAAATCTTGAAACTTGCCTGTCAGTCTCAAGGATAAGGCTGGAGGCCCCAATTTATTTCAATGACTTCCAACCATGGGGAGAACACTAAGTTCACCCCAGTTAATTATTTTAGTAGGTGCCCCAACATGGGGCCATGCCTGACCTATGCCAGGTCCCCTTTTATTGGATTAACGAATGGGCAGCCATAGCTCATACCTATATCATATGGTTCACATATATATATCCTCTCTGTATTAACCATTTCACACATAACAAATACAATTATCCAAGTATGCAATGTAACAGTGTTAATATTTTTCTCTGACAGCCAGGGTGCTGGTTCACTGTGTCGTTGGCATCAGCAGGTCGGCCACACTAGTCCTGGCTTATATTATGATCCATCACAACCTTTCCCTTATGGAGGCAATCAAGAAGGTACAGCAAAATCGCTGGATATCACCCAATCCTGGATTTCTACGTCAGCTACTAAACCTGCATAAAGAACTCCACCTGGTCAGGCAGCATCAGCATCAGGCAAATGCACAGGAAGACAAAAGCTGACTTCTGAAGGACATTGATTTCTAATACATTTCTTAACAGATAATTAAACCAGAAATTCTACCATTATATATTTTTAAAATAAAAAATATTTTTATATTAAATCTTTACTACTGTTAATATCTCTCACAACACTTAAAAGTTAATGAATGTTGTTTTGTTTTTTTATAACAATATGGCTTTATCTATTGCTCAAACTGGATGTGTGACAGATGTGCATGAGGAAAAAATGTGTTTTGTTTTATTTACATTAGTTAAATTATGAATTCCAGTTAATCCGAAATTCGGAAAATATTGATTCAGACAAAGTGAATTTCATTCCAAAATGTTGTTGATTTACAAAATTCAGATGTTCATTATTCCCATTGAAAATTAATGGAAGTGGCAGTCACTGCTTTGTCTCTAGAACCCTATTTTTTCGGAAATCTGATGGTCCAGTGGCCACACAAACACCTGGTGAAGTGTAATGTAGTTATTCACAAAAGTTTAAACTGAAGGGGGGGCGGAGCTAACTGCTGAGCTCATTGGTCGCATCCTAGGTTAGCTCTGCTATTCTTTGTGTAGAATCACTTGTAATCGGGCAAACACAACGAACATGGGACACCCTAAAAGGTCCACATCATCGCAGCACACCCCCAGCAAGAACCCTGCGGGCTGTGACTGAAAAGGTCTTAAACAAATGAACAATAATAAAAGTCTCGATTTGCTGTGTGTAATTACACAAATCTCTGGCGTCTCAGGGTGTGCACTTGACAGTGTAAGTGAATGAGGCTGTGTGATGTAGGGAAAGAGAGTAGTGCACTGTGCTCTGGAAAGATGCGCGTAACACTCCCTCAAGCGCAACCTGGTTGCTTCATCTGTGAGAGGTAGTCATCTGGTAGCATCTCCCTACTTGGGTTGCAATGTGAGGGTTGTGGTGTATTGCTGTAGTGTATGCCCTGTCTGTCCTAGTGAACGTGTGTGGGGCGAGTAGTAGGGCTCCGTCCCACCAGAGCGAAGTCGAGTGATGACTCCTTACCTATGGGGGTCACAGGGGTGAGGGGGGATTTGGTCATTCAGTAGGTGCTGAACTGCTCCCTTATACTAAGGAAGGCACAATACTTGGTTCTCAAATAACGTATAAAAGTAAAATTAAACTAAGTACGAAAAGAAACAAAATAAATGTTACATATCATATGGTGAGATAGAAACTGTTAGGCTGATAACATCAGCGATGTGGTGTCTGCTCAGGTCACTGCTGTTTTATTTTGGTCTTCTCTGGGGGTGAATGAGACAGTTCTCTCAGGATCCCATGTGTGAGGTGTGGACGTGGATGGTGTTTCATGGGCCCCTGTGTCTTGTGAGAGTCCCAAGGCCTGAAGGAAAGCGGGGACTTCCGCGAGAGAGGTGAGTTTTAGGAAAGTGTCATTCCGTACCACTGCTTAGGTTCTTGGCAGCAGCCATCGGTAGTCCACCTTTGCGTTTTGAAGTTGGGCGGTTATAGGTCTTAGTGACTGTGGCGAAACCAACCTCGCCACTGGGCATTGGAGAAGACTGATTGCCAGCCTCCTGCCATGTGACTATGGCCCCTGGGATGTATTGCTCTTTAAAGACATTATTTGGGCATATTGTATTTTATTGTGCTGTTTCTGGCCCTTTAAGTACTTTGGGAAAGGAGCATGGCACTTCGGATGCAGCCAAAGTGCCGAAGTTCAACACTGTTACCTAATTAACAAACTGCTTTATTATAACGCATTTACACAATACAACATAGTTAAAAAGCCCATCAATATATCACTGAAGCTGGATCAATGGTAAAGTGCAAGTGCAGTATACATATGATCTTCCTTAACTCCAAATTAAAAACATGAAAATGGCATCAAAATTATAAAATAATAAACAATGAGGCACATATGGCAAGCATTACGTGTTTCATCTTATGGGAGACTTCCTCTGGGGTATTAGAGTACAATATGTCCACAAGAATTGTAGCATGCTCCCTTGCATACAAGTCAGTCATATTAAAATGGATTGAAGCCCATCCTTGGATCGCCATCAGCCAACCCGGGGTTTCTCCTCAGTTGGAGTTACTTGCTCTTACATCGCTCTCAATTTCCTTTGCGCCAAAATTCCATGGATCCAATTGGACATCCCTCGTGGAATGTGCGTTCCAATGATGTCATGATGTTTCATGTGTCTCTTATGGATCAGCGTTGTCTTGAGTCCAGATGGTTTAGTGGAAGGCTTGTGCATCCCACCGATACTGCCTCCTTCCCACAGAGTCCAAATGACTTTATGTATGATTACATGTATTATTAAATTTTATGATTGGGACATTTTGAGTGCAAGAAGTCTTGTGATATTCCAGAAGGATGATGAACGAGTATGGAAGGCAATTGCATTCCACTTCGTTCCGTCTCTTTTGAAATTAAAAACGTGTCTACACATATTTGGTACTGAAGAGGTTAAATACAAAAAAATATTTTATTATGTCATATATATTCAAATTCGAGCAGTCCATCGAATCTGAAAGAAATGTGTTCACATTAAAAGCATACATAATGCTTTAATTTGACAGTAGATTTCAACGATGACAAATAGCATGTTTCTGAACACTTGCAAAGGTCGGTAATTCTGGTTTCTAAGATAACATTAAATAACGAATTTGCAATACACCATACTAAAAGTATAATGACCTGCTATCCTCCCAGTGTTGCAAGGTAGCACCTCTTCATATTAAAACACAGAATTCACCATAAAGGTAAGTGTACTACTGGCCTGGAAGACAAGTGGGGCTTTAGCCCAATGTTAATAGGAAGGTTTAATTTATGGTTACAAGGCCTATTTTCATATCTTGCTTAGGAACACAAGACTTCTTCCTCTGGCTTTGCAAAAAAACAAATTAATTCAGGTAATGGACCTTTAAAGGGGTCAGGTATACAATATGATACGTCTCGTCCTCAGCTGCTAATATCATGTCCTAAGTAAGCATTTAAGAATCTCATTCTCTTTCCGATACTAATTGCTTACCTTATGTTTACAAATCTATATTATTTTGGTACTACTCTTTCGAGATTACTCTCCTTCTGGGATGCAAATCACACTACAGTCTTTTAAACAAAGGCATATTTACAGTTTTCCACATTTCCATATAGCAGAATAGCACAACAATTGTTAGCCTACAGCCCCCGGACAATTATAGAGACAATTACACAGTGTTTGAGTCTACGCCAGCCCCCTCCAACGCTTTCGGCTGAATTTGATGGCAGCCCGTCAGCTGTTACTTAACGTCAAGTGTCGCTGTAGTGAGAAAACACATATAAATAAGACGTAGCTGTCATTCCAGGAAATCGGCTACTGCTGGGTCTAGTAAAGTGACTCTGAAAATGAGGAGGCTGTGCCGGGATCCCCCATCTGTCTTACAGCTGGAAGCATGGCTAGATGTCTACAAAGGAGATTTACACCATGTGGACCAAGTGTTCCCAAATCTGTACCTGGGGGACGTGTAAGTAGCATTAATACAAACAGCTAAAGGGTGTCACATAAAGCTTTTGTAAAAGCAACGGTCAGGGGGTCTCACACAGGTCAGGTCAGATATAATAAGGACTAACCAGATTAATAATGATCATCACAGAACCTGGTATTAAACAACTTAACTGCATGTACATTACATCGACACAGTTAACATATTATAGCATGAGCTGCATAAATTAGCTCATTGTGGGTATAGCAATCAAGAGAAATGTATTAATCAACTGATTGTTTATAAGAAATACTATCTATAGTTTGTGTAAGTATACATTAAAATTGTTTAACAGTTTTCAAGATATTTTATATAATAAATGTAACTTGGCTTTTATATAATGCATTGTAGCATTGGTTTTCTGTTCTAACTTACGTAGTCCATTGCTCAAAATACCACCTGAGGAGGGGTCGGGTGAATGGTGGGAAACATGTTTCAGGTGCAAGTATTTTTCACAGGTATCTTAAATGGATAGCCTATGAGGGATGATGACTTAATTTATCACAAACAAAGTAATAACATAAAAATATTTGCATGCACTGAGGTCTCTTGAGACTAGAATGTGTCTTAAAAAACCCTTCGGTTAATTATGGTCCTCCCATTGTTTTCAATGTTTTCATTGAGCATTTGAGCATATCTTTCAGCTACGGACATTGAGAACAGAATTGGGTCTGTGTGAATAGAGAACATACAACTTGGCCACCATGTCAACCAGAGCTGGCCATGTGCAAACAGCTTCTGAAGCTATTTTGCACGGATAGAAATAGGAACAGTGGCAACCAAATATAAACATTTTTGGAGACTTTTTTTTAGTGTCTCCAGAATTAGAACACTCCAGACAGGAGAAAGTTTGTTGATCCAACGTCAGGACTGTCCCATCAGATTCTGGACTGTTGGGATGGGAGCTACACATTTCTATTCAGCTATCAGCTTTCTATTAGAAATTGTAGTTTGTGGTATATTCCCAGCCATGATGAACTTACCTAATGAAAAAAACCCCCACAATTAAAGCTAGATTCACAAGGTAATGAATAGAGTGAGACATGGTTTTTCAAGGATGAAACTTATGGCCTTGCATGTCCACAGATGCAGTACATTCCATTGAAAGCGAGGAGACAGCCCTCACAAGCCACTTAGAATAATATATGATATTATACGATGATGTCACCTGAAGCTGTAGAAAATAAAATGTAGCAGGAATGGAACTGATGCAGTGTCATAAAGTCAAACAAAACAGAGATAGACCAATACAGAAGCAGAATATATTACTTTTTTACAGAAATTACAGAATTCCGTATTGTGTAATCCAGGAAACTGGTTACAAATAGAGTTAAGAAAATATATTATTTATGTCGATGCTCAAACTATCTTTTTAAAAATCTTTGAGTGAACAAAATTCTTAACATAAAAATGTCACAGTTCATTACACTTTGCTGATTAGGAAATAGCTCAATTTGATCAAATTATTAAATAAGCAGCATTAAGTAGATTCCTTTAAATAACCCTTAAAGGAAAAACTATTAAGTAATTAAAAATGATATGTACATATTAATTATTATTTTTTTGAATTATAATATACTTTTAACCTTCTTGTACCATTATTAGTTTTGCTCCAAGCTATTAGGCCACTGTAAAGAAAATAATAAGACTACTAAGTAATCATTAAGATATTGATTTGTTTATATTGCCAGTAATCTTACTATGCATTTTAACAGAGTTATCGCTGAAGACAAGAGCAAACTGAAGAAAATGGGTATCACCCACATTCTGAATGTGGCTCATTCTGCTTGGGAGTGTAAAGGAGATGATATCGTGTATGGCCCTCATATACAGTACTATGGCATCACTGCTGAAGACTGTCCGGAGTTTAAAATCAGTACGTTTCTGCGGCCTGGAGCACAGTTTATTCACGAGGCTCTAAGTACACCCAATGGTGAGTATACATATGTAACCAAGGATCTCTTGTAATACTTAGAGAGATAGACAGAAAGATTTAGAAAAATCTAGATCCTCCAGCCTCTCAAACATTTTTTCAAATATGTTTTTCCCTTTGGTTTGATTGAGATTCCAACATTATGATGTCGTTGAAAGCACCAAAATATTCTATATCACTGATTTCTGAGAGCCAATTTCTGAGAGCCAAACCATGATTAGTAGCAGATCTTGTTGATGTGTTACTCCAAACTCCAAGCCCTCTGTAGTGGTTATAATGCCAGGAGTAACGTGGCTTGGTTTAGTGACGGTTTGTTCCCTTACCTGGGTCCCTGCTGGGCTCCTGTCTTTCTGGTAGCCAATGCAGTCACCACTCATTAGCTGGGAGAGTCAACTAACCACTTTCAGCCAATGAATGTAATTCTGTGCTAAAAAATAAATAAAGTTGTAGTTAGTTCCGGTTTGGCTCATGACAACCCAGTGACGGTGCTAGAGATGGATTTACACCACTGGCGGCAGAGTGTGTTCATAACAAAATGTTGCACATGCAGAATCCAGGCACCATGACCACTTCAACTCACTGAAGTGGTCATGGTTCCTGTAGTAAACCTTTACCTGTTTTTATTTTAAATATTTTATATAAAAATATATTATTGTATATAGAACTATTTTATATATTGTAATTTATTCATGAAGTGTAAACTGTTATCTTACACAAAAACTTAATTGTGGAAATGTTGCAGACACAAAGTTTAACCCCTTTGCTGTTGGAGGAGTAATTCCATCTCCGGCATGGTCATTGGGACATCATTAGACAGCCTGGCGGGGACCCACGGTACAGAACAAACTATTGCAAAACAGCTGCACAGTATGCTCCATAATTAGAACAAGGCCAGGGCTGCAGTGGTTACAATGCTTTCAGGGTTATTCACAAAAAGGAGAATTGAAAGTGAATTTCAGATTTAATGTCAGAGTAGCTGAATTGAAACATAGCTGACGGTGGCTATATTGACCTTAAATTTGAAATTGACTTTGAATTCTCACATTAGTGAATAACCCCATTTAAGTAACACTTTACTATATCTTATTTAAAGTTATATATTGTGTACATATAGGTGCTCTATTACCAATTTTTCTTCCTCCTATAACATATCAGAATAGGAGTTAGTCATTCCCTTTTTGTGTGATTTGATGGATTGCTGATGTAAGGGAGTGTACATTTACTTACTGACTGATTTAGGAAGAGTTTTAGTAGCATTCTTACTTTTCAGGAAAGATTCTGGTCCATTGTGTGTTGGGCAAGAGCCGATCAGCCACCCTGGTCCTTGCTTACCTAATGATTTACCAACAATTCACCCTGGAAGAAGCCATCCGTCATGTCTGCCGATTCCGCTGCATTGCTCCAAATCGTGGCTTCCTAGAGCAGTTGAGACAGCTAGAAATGGAGTTGCAGTGCAGGCGATGTTGTATCCTCTGAAGGCTCAGGAGCATCTGGAATCTGAAAAATTGATGTCAATTTTATACCCTTTCTTTATCCAAGTGATATCTACAAGTCTTTTTGTGTTTCTCTCCAACATTGAGATTTATATTCATAATATCCCCTTTAATGTTCTTCCCCGATGCAGGACTCACCATAACTAGAAACAATTTATTAACTTGCCAACATTTATGCATACGACCAAACTGTACAGGAAGGCTAGGGCTTCTTTTTAAAGAAATTAAAAGTGTCTCATTCACATGGATGCATTAAACTAATAATGCAATGACTGTTGAATTTGCAAAATAGGATTTCAAGATTTACAAAGTGTGGTTCCAATGAAATTTGGAACCATATGCATCTGGCATGATGCACATTCACACATTATCATTCACTTGCTTTCATGAAAGTGAATGATAATTTAAAGTACCATTTGCCCGCTGACAGCGCTAGCAGTGTGACGGAGCTCCAGTACTCCGACCGAGTACGTAGCTATCAGGGACCCTGGAGCACTTCAGATCCAGTCGCTGAGGCTTGACTGGGATCACTGAGGGCCTTTTCCAACCTGAACCAGGCTATTGTGTATATAGCCCTGGACACACTTTCCATCAGCAAATTTCTCAAACACTAACCTTAACCTTGGTGAAGGTTAAAAAAGCAACTAACTTTACTAGACATAGCACACATCTTAAACCCCCAACAGCCTCATTTACATACACTAGGGTTCATAGAGCACTATAGTACAAGGAAGAGTGGGGTCAGACAATGGCATTCCTGATGGGAGATTGAGGAGGGACAAAGCAGCTAGTTTAAACTGGTCTGACAGTGTCCCTGGGACAACGCCCTGCTGGGGAAACAATGGGACAGGAAAAAGGGGGTGGTGGAGAGGCACAGGCAAGCAATACATTAAACATACATATGCTGCACTAATACTGGGAACAGGGTGACCAAAACACAAGAGGAAAATGGGGACCTACATATAGTGTCTGTCTTCCATCCCCAGTGACGGTGACTACCGTCACGAGCAGCTAGCAGGCAAATAGTTAAATTAAAAAAAAACTTGTTATCCAGAGGGTTAATTTGCTAACAGCCGCCACATTAAAAAGTAAAAATTATTTCTAACAAAAATGTATAAATAAAATTCATACAGGCTCACACAGACCCCCATATTACTGTAAGGAAGGTTTTAAATCTCTATATGCCCCACTTGCCATGCGGTGGGTGGGAGCATATTTCATATTAATTTAAAACTAGCGTCTTGGTGAGTGTCGTTAGAAAGGCCCAATGGGGGCCTGTAAACTAACTGGGTAGGGGCGACATGGTCCCCCAATATCCTCACCTGTGGGGCTAATTTATAAAATAATGGGGTGACATGGTTAAGACCCCCACCCCATGGTTAGCGGGAGCTATTATAATATTCATGGGAAGTATCTAGTGTGCCCCCCAGTTCCCCACCCATAATGGCGGGTTGGGGCCCTATCCTAGTATTAATAGTAATTGAGGAAGACCTAATTGCAATGCCAATTCATAACCCAGAACCTGAGAGTGAGAGTGGTACATGTGGACTGCACCTGTCAAGGGTGTAGACCAGACACTAAGACCAACAGATTACCAGGGATCAACTTTTCCCCTTCACTGACACAAAGTAAGGAAGATGGAGGGGTAATAAGCACCACACCAATGTCCCAATCCCACTGCATTACACCTCTACCTCCCATACTACACCTCCAACTACCCAACTACATCGCCTATTCTCTATACTCCAGTACCTATCCCCCTACACTACAGTCCCTATCCATCTTCAATGCAGTACCTATCTTTCCCTCTACCCTACAACGCCCGTGCTCCTCTACAATACAGTTCCTTTCCCACCTACACTACAGCTTCTATACCCATACACTATCCATCTACAATGCAGTACCTATCTTCCCCTTCAACTCCTGTCCTCCTCTAAAATACAGCTCCTATCCCACCTACACTACAGATCCATCCTCCCGTGCCACAGCCTCTATCCCCCACACCTATCCCCCCCATCTTATTCTATGATTCATCCCATATCCCCCTCTACCTATACATCTCTTCCTCCCGAGTCCTAACACTATAGATGTATCCTCCCCACACAGCATCCCCTATCTCTGCAAACTACAGCCCCTATTCATCTCTACAATACAGCTCCTAAACCTCCATACACTACAGCTCCATTCTCCCACTGAACCCATATCACCCACATAACACACAAACTATAGTCCACATCCCAACTCATGCATACACTCAATCCCTTTTTCATATATTTCCTTGAGATGCCCACTTTGGAAGAGGCATGCATGTCATTGGTGATGACAAAGTGCATTTAAAGTGAATTTAAAATTTAAAACCAAAGTTGCCAAACTGAAACATAGCCGACTTAGAGAATATTTAAAGTGTGGCCATTTTGGTCTTAAATTTTAAATTAAAGGACCATCAAACTATCAGGGATATAGACTGGGGGGCTTATCTCCTGACACCTCAGGATCTCCTCTGCCTCTGCTGCCTCTTACTGCCTGTCGCACACCCAACTTCTATCTCATTGCTTAAGAAGCATATCAGCACCTTCTCCATTGCACTTGCACAAATACATGGTTTTTATTTAATGCCAGCTGATTAGTGTGTAAAAGGAGAGAAAGGTGTCACTCAATTGATCTACTCTTCTAGTTAACTACAAGCTTACCATAGTACAAAGGCAAACAGGACAACCCCTATGTTTTCACCTGCCTTTTCACCTGCCACTCATTCACACTTCTTTGGTATGCATTGTACAAAACTGCATAAGCAACAAAAATGTCACTTTCAATGTTTTATTTTCAATGTATTTATATCAAAATTTAATATAAGCCCATGTGGTCTAATGTAAATATACTTTGTTTTAAAGTTATGTTAGCAATAAAACCATAAATATATATTTAACACCATAAGAGCATGTGTATTCTCATCTTTCCTAGGATGATTTATAAGAATTCTGAAAGGGTAGGATCCAAGATGTATGACATGAAGTGTGTCCCAGAGTGGGCAAATATGCTCAAGGCATGGTCCGGGGGTACCAAGGAGAAGTCAGTGTTACGTCCTAGTCAGGGCCGGTGCAAGGATTTTTGCCACCCTTGGCAAAAGAAAGATTTGCTGCCCCCCCAATTTGCGCTGCCCACCATGTGACATCACAATGCCCCACCCATATGATGTCATATGAACCAACGCCAGTGCTGCACACAGTGTGTGTTTACATTAAAAAGCCTGCAGGGACAGGCTATAGACACCAGAACCACTACATTAAGCTGCAGTGGTTCTGTGGACAATACTGTCCCTTTAATGTGAGGTAAATTAGTGTCACTAATAATATACTATATTGCCTACTTACAACCAGATGAGGATGATGATGGGCTCTGACTGCAGTCTGGCTCCACTGGTCTAGTGTAGAACAGGCTCTCTGGCTCTCTGTGGCCACAAAAATCAATGTTCTGGGGGAACGGGAAGCAGCTCCATTTTTTAGATCCCTTTATACAGCTCAAGGTCTGGGCCCCTATGGCCTGACGGTAAAATATGCCCATAAGGCCCTCCCATAGAGGATCTAATGTGTGTGCTTATGGAATGTAGAGTATAGGGATACCAGTTTGTGTAGGCAATGCAGTGTGTGTGTGAAGTGGATGCAGTGTGTTTTTGTGTAAAGGATAGAAAGCAGTGTGTGTTTGTGTGTAAGGGATGTATTGTGTGTGTAAGGGATGCATTGTGTGTTTCTGTGTGTGTATAGGGATGCATTGTGTGTGTCTGTGTATTGTGAAAGAGAGTTTGTGGGGTAGGAAAGGGGCTGAGAGGGGAGCAGAATAAATATAATTAGGGGGATGGGGAGTTTGCGTCTTACATCTCCCTTTAGTGTATCTCTTGCAAGCCCCTTGTTTGTCTCCTACATCCTCCCAACTTCTTTGTGTGTCTTACTCCCCCCAGCCCCTTTGTGTGTTTCTTTCTCCCCTACCAGCACTTTTGTGCTTCTCTTTCCCCCCTTCCTTAGCCTCTCTGTGTGTCTTCCACTCCCCTGTCCCTTAATAATCTCTTTCACTCCCACCCATCCCTTGGTGGTCTCCTCTCTCCTCTCCTCTCCCCTCTTGTCCGTTACTGGTCTTCCCTCCTGTCCCTTAGTGCTCTCTCTTTTTAACCTTTTCTTTTCTCTCCCCTCTTGGTGGTCTCTCCTTTTCCTCACCTGTCCCTTAGGGGTCTCTCCTCTCCCCCACCACATTGGTGGTCTCTCCTCTCCCCTTTCCCCCCTTGTTGGTCTCTCCTCTCCCCCCCTCCCCAGTGGTCTCTCCTCTTCCCCCCCTCGTGGTCTCACCTCTCCCCCACCCACCCCAGGTGTTCTCTCCCTTCTCCCTCTCCTGGTGCTCTCTCCTCTCCCTCCCCTGGTGGTCTCTCCTTCACCCCTCCTAACCAATCAGAGAGTTATGAGTCAAGTTACACAGCGTGGGAAAATTCCAAAGAACTTTCCCATGCTGTGTAAAATGACACAGAGCACTCTGATTGGTGGATTTCAAACCAACCAATCAGAGTGCTGTGATAGGTAAATGTAGAAACTTACCTGTCAGTCTCTTCATTTACCTGTCAGAGCACTCTGATTGGATGGCTTAAATCAGTGCTCTGAGCCTAATTGCAGAGCGGGGCAAGGCTTTATTTGCCCTTTTTTGGGGCTGAAAAAAAGATTTTAGAAGAAAGAAAACATCGAATGGTAATTTTTTTTAATTTTTTTTTTACAGGTACTTAGTTAAAGGTCCCCCCCTCATTATTATTTTTAGGGTGTGGGAGGTAGGTAGGGGGATAATTTTTTTTTTGGGGGGAGGGGGTGACAAGGGGTTTGGGGACCCCTAGTCACCTGGGGGGGCATTTTTTTTAGGGCCCCCACCCACCGCTCAGGGGTGGGGGCCAGGGGGGAGGACATTAGGTCCCCCCTTATTCTAGTTTAGGGCCCCCACCCACCACTCAGG